ATAACGTCTCTGCTGGGAGTAATCAACTTCCTGGGCCGGTTCGTTCCACACATCCAGGAGTGCCTGAGACCACCGAACGAGCTTCTGAGGAAGAACGTAGCATGGATCTGGACACCACAGCAGCAGCGGGCGCTGGATGACGTAAAAGCAGCCGTCACTTCAGCTCCAGTTCTGGCGTTCTGCGATGCAGCACGAGAGACGGTGGTCAGCGCCGATGCCAGCAGTTTCGGCATCGGAGGATGTGTTCTCCAGAAGCACGGCTCCGTCTGGTCTGAATGACCGCGGTCTGACTGAAGGGAGCGCGAGCAGATAGAACACGTAAGACTCGCATAGTAAGCTAAAAATCGGCCGGTAATCTTTGGGTGATATGGAGCTCCCCGTCCGTTAAGCCCGCATTTGATCTTAAAGAGTGACCTTAAGAGGTCAGGCCTTTTTGACGGACGCTAGATCTTTCAGTAGTAAATATTCTTGTGTTTGCAAGTTTAAAATCGGTCAGTAATTTTTGGGTGATATGGAGTTCCCCGTCCTTTGGGCCTGCGTTTGACCTTGAAGGGTGACCTTGAAAGGACAGGATTTTTTACGGACGCTAGATCTTTCTGTGGCGAGTATTCTGATGTTTGTAAGGTAAAAATCAGCCGGTAATTTGTGGGTGATATTAAGTTCCCCTTCATTTGAGCCCGTGTTTGGCCTTGAAGGGTGACCTTGAGATTTCGTGACTTTTGGATGGACGCTAGTTTTTTCCCTTGGTGAATATTCTGATGTTTGTGAGCTAAAAATGGGCCGTGAATTTTTGGATGATATGGAGTTCCCCGTCTTTTGGGCCGGCGTTTGACCTTGAAGGGTGACCTTGAGAGTTCATAACTTTTTGACGGGATGCTAGTTCTTTCTGTGGTGAGCATTCTGACATTTGTAAGTTGAAAACCGGCCGGTTATTTTTGGGTGATATCGGGTTCCCCGTCCTTTGACCCAGCTTTTGACCATGAAGGTTACATGATATTGCAAAATAAGGGTCATTTTTGGTGTTCTCATGCCACAGTTAAGCTTGAAGACCCTTTATCAGGGAATCAGACTTGTCGCTGAAAATAATTGTTGAATTAATCGCTAACTTTACGGACATTATTGTTTCGGCGTTCTGCTGGGCACTTTGATGATATTCTGTGCCGCGTTCATTGGTTTTGAATATATGGGTTTTTATTTGCGCTTGGTCTTTGTTTATAAAAAAGATGTACTGCGCGCCCCACGACAGTGCTTGCATTGTACTACTCCTGCTACCTACCGACAGAATATGGAAACTCTAGTTGTGTGAAATGTGTGTGGCCAAGAAACAGCATATCGCGCGGTGGGATGCGATGGCGCTGTGTCGATTTGTAATGCCGAAAAGGAGTATACTTTTCTATTCAGAGTTGGGGAGAGGGCTTTAGCCCATTTCCTCCCCCCCTCAACTTGAGCTGCAGCCCCCAACGTTGGGAAGAAAGTGGGCCAAATCTGGGGCGAAACCTGTTTGATGGCTTTTTGGGGGGGTAGGCTGGGTAATTTGGCACTGATTCCCCTCGCCTCATTTCGTGAAACTACACCGCTGGTGCCAAGCATTGAAATGAGCCCGATGCACGGTACAGGGCCCACTCGAGTTTTACCTTACCCTCCATCCGGTACTACAGCGCGCTTCGTCTGACGCTTGGTTGTTGAGTGGCAGCTGGCTGTCGACAGAACCCTATTCTCCGTTTATTGGCATCGAACGGAAAACGGTGGACCTAAGGATTCATGACTGATGCAGATGCATGAGGTTTATAAAGGTTCATGAAGATGCGGTGCGCTTTGGTGCTGGGTTGCTGACTGTGGTAGATAAAAGCCAACGAAACTGGACTCTTTTCTGATAGCTAGCAGAATGCGATGGACCTACAAATGCCTGACATCCATACATATATGCGTTGCATACATGCATCTTAAAAACACGCTAGTGATTATGGTACAGAAATGCATTTCAGGACCATTGATACGCGCCCGGGTGGCCGGCTAGATACCCTTCGCTCGGGTGGGGCGGGTCAATTTGATCCCCCTGATATTTCAGGAACTACGAAAGTTAGAGACACCAAACTCACAGGGTGCCTTGACCGTTAAGTGAACTCACTTAGGTCAAAGTTTAAGCTTCTTAGATCATGACCTTCAGGTCAAATAAGGCCAAACAAGGTCAAATTCAAGGTTGGTTTTCAAAGTGCCCCCAGAATCTTGGCAACTGTCTCTAAGCAAAAGGTCACAAGCCCATTTGAGGTCAGTAACCTTGTTTGACCTTTTGAATGTCATGGTGACCAAATCATACAAGATTGCTCTGGGCTCTGCGTTTGAATAAGCGACAAAGATTATGCTAGGCAGTATGTTCCTAAAACAAAATGTCGATCTGGGTCATCTCAAGTCAATGACCTTTTCTGACCTTTAAGAAGTCTGGAAGATGTATAATGCGGTTCCTGCTGTCAACAAATTCGAAATGAGCAACACAAACTATGTCATACGGCAAGCTCTAGAGTAATAAATCAGGATGGTTTTGACCTTGGCCTGACCTTCAAACCTGACCGCAGGTCAACGTGATTTGCTCTTTCAATATTTTTGGTGCTTAAGAAAGCATCTCAGAGATGTATGGCCTCGTCAAACCCTCCGCCATTTTATCAGATCGGACGATTCCCTAAAAATTGCCTTCGCTGAAGCCATGGCATGACTTTGACCTGCCATAGATCAGCGATCTTTCAAGGTAAATCTAAATGCTTATGTCAAGCCATCTGCTATTCAATTGTCTACAGTTATACAAAATTTGGCGCGGCTACGCTACGCCGTTCGGAAACCATTCTGGACAAACCTTCGGGGGGTCAATTTGACCCCCACCCGAGCGCGTGTTGAGGCATGCATTGATAATAACCATGCCTAAAGCACTGATCCCGCCAACGAAGCGGAGCGCTTCAGAACCAATCTATTACTTTGCTTCGACTCACCTGTGCCATGCGACATCTTGACACGACAGTCTTCAGCCTAATCTACATCATGCTTACCACTCCCCAGCTGGATGTCTGTCTAGGCAGACATCCAGACAATCCAGACAATCGTTTTACGAGCGTTTGTTCCGGTACGCAAACCCGCTGAGCTGTTAGCCACTGAAGAACGCACTATTTGACCTTCGGCACTTCTTCGCATAGTAATTGTGATTCAGAACCTGAATTATCTATATTAATCTGCTTTTTAAGGTAGGAGATGGTTTTCATAAAAATCTGAGCCTTTGATGTCCATAATCCAAATCGATTACAAAAATTGAATGTTATATACATATTGTGTGAGAAAAAAGCGCACCACAAGCGTGGTCGGGCTGCAAATTGACGGCATCAGGGGTCGTGGCACAACGTGATCTGTATACTATAACACTCGGCATGAACTACGCCGGCGAAATTCGTTGGTGGGGTAAATTTGTCCCATTTCTTTTGGGACATCAAACAAAGGTGTTCTGCTGCATGCGTCCGGATCCCAAAGTCCTTCAGCGCACCGACGTTGTCAGAATAAAACATTTTGCGCGGTCATCTAGCGACAGGCTGGCTCTGTACCACAGTTCGTTCCACACATAGCGAACATTTTCTTCTTGAATGATTCCGTACTGCTTTGAAGTGCCAAGCCAGAGTTGCATGTTGTGGGAATATCGTCTCATATCACTCCATCTCGAAAATTTCAGACATGCGAGCAAATCTTTGCGCGCACTCGTCGTGCCAAATACTGGCTGTGCTGGGTTATGTAGCTTTTGTAATGAATTTGGTGCAAATTTTGCCAGACAGGCCAAGCCACCGGACACGTTTTAAGGTTGCCAAATAAACGCTATGGTTCACGCCATAGCTTTGAAAATGGAACTCTACTTTGTTACAGGCAAGACATAATCGCGGACTATCTCTAGTCAAACTACAAAGCCCACCCTTGCGTAAACGATTGGCTTGAAATCAAGAAAACTTATGTGTCCTGCAAGGATTTTTCAATGTTTTGGGTGCGCAAGCTAAACACCAGCTAGGTGGCGTTAGATGCGCTAGAAAGACCAGTACCTTATTGTAAAAGTACTGCGATATGTCCGTTTCAAACTGGTGGTGTTGAAAAGCTGCTCTTCCAGATATGAAAATCTCTCCTTGCTAAGGAGTGATGGCATGCCTGTTCAATGCACGGTTAGTAATCAGGGTTCCTGTCGCCGAAAGCAAATTTGAGTATGCAGGCGATTCCCCTTTCATGACTGTTTGTCTGTGTGTCTGTGCTGCAACGATCCCAGCTAACAGCTCTCGCCGTAAGTAGCCACCGAGTTCGGAAGACAGGTTAACAGTTATACCCATCCCGAAGATCTCCAATGCACGCGCTGGCATGCTGACGGCCGGCTATGTCAGGAGTATGAGCTCGTCCGGTTTCTGCTGTTCCATGCGGTGCTCGTGTGTATTTGCGGCGACTTGGGTACAATATTGACGGAGGTGAGCCATAAATTATGAAAGGCGGGGGGAGAGGCTACTGCAGAGCAATGCAGCTCCACCCACGTGGTCAGAGTGTTGCAAGAATCGAAGCAGTAGGTAAAAACCTTGGATATCAAAATCATGCCTGTAGAACATGCTATCGAACTCCTAGAAGGAATGTCGCAGTGAGTGGGAACACAACTGTGTACATTTACTTCAATGTTACTATGCTTGCAGCTACCTGTCCACATTTACGCATGCGGGCACTGCGCCCGGTGTACCGTGGTCCCAGCCTGCCCGATCCCTTGCGCCACTCGCACGTGCCACAGTGGCACTGCGCCCGGTGTACCGTGGTCCCAGCCTGCCCGATCTCTTTCGCCACTCGCGGCGTTTCGCACGTGCGACGGTGGCACTGCGCCAGCCGCGGAACGCGCCCACCTGAGGAGGTGCCAAAAATAACCCGCGCCTGTCGGCTCCGGGCCAGGTAGTTTGCATCTCCAGACGTCTCCCGAAATAGTGCGGACCCGCCAGGAAGCTACTGGAGCG